CTTCCTGTCAAAATAAAACCGTCAAATTTTTTTTAGTACTTAGTAGTCAATTTTTTTTAGTACTAGTCACGTAGAATGGGAATCAGTGGTGAGCTTTTTTTTTTTTTTTGGAACACCCTAGTGGTCATATTATGGCGTGAAAACGCACGCCTTCCTGGTTGAGTCTGATTAGTAGTTAGCTAAATCAGACATAAAAATATCTATGTGAGTTTACAGCAATTGAATAGATTACTTCACATGCATCAATATGTTAAAAAAATTGAGATTTTGCATAAATGGTTACTAATAATTTAACTTTTTGTTTGCCATTTAAATATGATATTTGGGGTCAAGTAGGTTAGTGGTAGAATTAATTTTTGTTAAGAAAATTTTTTTTCTTTTAGAAAATAGTATTTTTATTTCTACTTCTTATTTTTTTGTTAAAGGGCTGCGTACTATGTTTTAAATAATATTATTTTCTAAATTATAAAAGATCTCAACTACAGGCGGCAACATTGGGCTGTCAGCTTCTGTTACCTTGGTTACATCTGCTATTGGTGCTAGCAGCTTTAAAAATCCTTGAACCTTATCCCAAAAAATATTTAATAACAAGCTATTTTTTGTTGTTGTAGAATTTAAAACACACAGTTTGAATATGGTTCAAGATTTTAAAGAATGGTTCAAGGTTATTTTTCCGTATACTTTCAAGACACGCCACAGTGGAACCCCACTTATTAATAAATAGATTTTATTCACATATTCTAATTTAATAATATAAAATTAGAAATAAAAAAAGATTACAATATAAAACTGTTTCAATTAACGGTATAAAAACAACAATTACCTAGTGTTTACCGTAAGTTTTAAGTTTGACATGTTTAAAGTAACTGTATATTTTTGAATTTCTTCAAATATTGTACTTTATATGAGAGAGTTTTTGATTTCCTTATATCTGTTGCTTGTGACATTAATACAAAAAGAGAAGGCATTTTTATAAATCATTAAAAAACAAAATGAAACCATGAGATATACACCCATAGCATTTAAGAAAAGGGTAGTTCTTTTTTAAAATTTCCATATCTTTTTCATGTTTGCTGCATTGTCTGTTTTCATGTTTGCTGCATTGTCTGTTTATATTACCAAGACTTTATTAGAATTAATTTCTTTTAATACCCTCTGTATTTCATCTGCTATGTATTCACCAGAATACTTGATGAACCTGAAAATTATTACTTTAATGTGAATACTTGACAAACTGTTCAATTATAAAATTAGAAAAAGTTTTTAGTATGAAGAACTTTTTATTTATTTAAATTTAAAAAAAAACTGTATTTATTATTATTCTTGAAAAATAAAGATTTAAGTAAACCTGAAGACAGTGATTTTCATAAAATAAGCAATGATGAAGTATATCAATACAAAGTTAAAAACTCCTTTATTTCCGCAAAGTGTAAATAATTTTTAAGTTTTAATTTTTAAATTATTTATATAGCTAGCTAACCGTACCTGTAAAAAAAAGGGTCTGGGTAAGTCTACTCCGCACCGACCTTTTCTATACTTTTTAAAAATATATATCCTAGTTACAGGGCTCAATATAACAGTCGGACATTGTCTGGCTAAAACCTCAGATTGTCAGTTCAATTTACAAAGTAATCGGACATTTTGACAGACAGGAATTAAATTCTCAAAAAATAAAGTATGGGCAGGAATGGCGTGCAACCGAACGCAATAACTGACCACACAAATGATTTTTTTGTTTACAACTTGGCCACAAGTGTTTAGATGTTTTGATGATTTAAATGTTTCAGAAATGCGCTGAAAAAAAAAACGTGAAGCTAAACTTTAACAAGGAAAAGAGTTGAAAAAATTGAAGAATAAGCAAAACAATTTCTTAGGAAAAAGAAAATAAATTAGCTTTAAAACAAAACTAAAAAAACTTGAAGTTTAAACTACTTTTTCTTACGTTTTTAATTGCATTAGAAAAAAATTAATTTAAAACTTATCTTATCTAAACGCTTTTACAAATTACTTTTATTTATTGTTTAATAAATAAACATACTTTATTTAAATTATTGAAAAGTGAAATCAAATTAATGAAAAGAAAAAAAAGTTATATTTTTAAGTTGTATAAACATTTTTTTCAAAGAGTGGCAAAAAAAGTTTTTTAAAAAAATAACTTTGTCTTTTTAAGTTCGTAATTTTTTAAAATTTCAAAGTTTTCAAAAATATTTTAAAATAATTTTTAATCATTTTGTAAATTTTAATCATTTCGTAATTTTTAATCATTTTGTAATTTTTAATCATTTCAAGCTTTAATTAGTAAGTGAAGTTAATAAGCTTTAATTAGTAAGTGAAGTTAAATGTAAATGTTAATAATGGTTTGTAAAAATGTGCATAAATTTTAAAATCAACCAATTAAAAGTTTTTATTGGTTGATTTTGAAGATATTGCTTAAATTTTAGAGACCAGATATTTTTCCAGATATTTTTTATTGTGATTGCTTAATTCAACCCTTGTCATGGGTGACCCACTTGCATGGTTAGCTCTGAATAGATGCAAAATATTCTAAATATACTATGCAAAAAAAAATATTTTGATTTTTTTTCAGATTGTTTTATGCTATCAAACATTAAACAGATTTACCACTTTTAGAAATTGGTTCTTTATGTTTTAAAGCGTATGAAATAATGTTTGAAATTTGTACAATGCTTACTTGAAATATGTTGTTACAATGCTTACTTAAAATAAGGTTTTTAAATTTGTATGTTGCTTTACTTTGTGTTATTTCGCTTTGTGTTGTTTCTGTTATAATTTTTCTTAACATGTCATCATTTAAAAATATTTTTTACATTTCCTAATATGAATGGCCATTTGTGTTCCACTTTTTGACATAATATTATTGCAAAAAGAATTTGCTCACCTGGCTTGCTGGCTAAAATAAAATGCTCACAGTTTTTTCTTTTCTGGTGTGGCCACAGACTACTTTTTTATTATTACTCATTATTATGTTCTAATAACATAACAACTAAATGATATGATTACTTTGATTAGAAATCTGCTTAATGCTTCCAAAACCTGACTTGAGCTAATTTAACTAACCAACAAATAAACCTGTTGCTATTTTGTTACTTTCCAAGCTACCTTGGATGTAGCTTGGAAAATCTAAAAAAATTATGTTTTTATTATATAGTTATTTTAAAAGCTAAATTAAATTACAAGAACAATAAGTTTTCATATTACTAATCTCTGTTCTTCATTAAAAATAACTATAAAAAGAATTTGGGAAATTTTTTTGATTTCTGTGAGGTTCTGCTACCTAAAGAACATTAAAGACAATACTTGTAAGATGGTATTTTAAATAGAGGAATGAATAAAAATAACCCCTTTAATAAATGAATTGTTTTTTTTTAAAAGGGCGAATTTGCTCAACACTTCTTAAGCAAGTTCGCCCTTTTAAAAAAAACAATTCCAATATGACCTAAAAACAAGTTTTTTAAATTATTTAAGTGTTTAAAGAAAGAAAAAGAGTAGTTTTTCAAAAAAACTAAAAAACACAAAAACAAAGCAGTTGGTTTTTTGACCAAAAAACAATTTTTTTGAAAAAAAAAAACAAGAACCAAAAAAATGACTCACATCTCTATGCTTTCCACTTTCTTACTCTGGATTCTATTCTTTATCTCTATAAATCTCAAATCTGTCCTTGTATGGAATACTGTTGCCATATCTGTAATGTATCTTCGAATGATGCCTTTTCTTTTTTAGACAAGGTACAAAAATACATTTGTAAACTTAGTTGGACCTGCTTTTACAGCCTACCTCCAACCATTGTCACATCGTCGTAATTTTGCTTCTCTTTCTTTTTTCTATAAATACTATGGGCGGTGCTCTAAAGAGCTAGCATCTCATGTGCCATCTTCTAAAATTCATTCTTGTGTTACTTGTCATTTAATTAAGTTTCATCCTTTTACTGTGACTCCTAAATGCTCCAAAAATTCTTATTCATCTCGTTTTTTTTCTTGAACATCAGTTACTTGGAATTTGTTCTCTTCATCTTGTTTTGTTGATTTATATAATTTGCAATCTTTTAAGTGATCTGTTAATTGTTATCTTGCTTTGTAAACTTCATCTTTCCTCTTCCAGTAACTTCCAACTCTA